AGTCTTCAAAATCTGAATGTTATAAAACACACTTACCTTGCTAAAAAGATGTGAGATGACCATATCTGGCAGTGCATGAGCCCACCCAGAAATCTACAGAATTCAGAAAAATACGCATTAGGACAGTTCACACTGTCTTGCATAGCGGTCTTGCATACTCCAGTGGTTGACAGTCAACCTCATCACACACAAAAACAAGTCATAGTCAAATTACATATCCAATTCATGCCATGCTAGAGAAATCATTACTTTGAGTACTGTGTTAACCATTCATTCATTAGACCTATAGTCTTTTAAGGGTATGTGTTTTGTGTGTCACTATGGCTCCCATATTGCCATGAGTTTGTAGGATCAATCAACTTTAAGAACAAAATGATTTGCTCAGAATCTACCACAACAGAAATCGCACCAGTTTAACCATTTGTTGATGCAATTCAATGTATAAAAATCCTGGTGTTCAAAGTAAATTTTATCACTAGCTAAGGGGCAGGGGTGGAGTGCCAATGCTAACTCCATCATGCAATGCACTTGTGTTTCAAAACCAATCTGGAACTAATGTACAGTTGTATCAAAGCAACTTCGCAAAGGATGCCTATCAACATGGATTTTTCCAATCAATCAATGAAGGGGAGATTACAAATTCGTATAGGGCTCAGGGGTATTTTTGGGTGCCAGTGCAAAATCCTTCCAGTGACAAGCATTTGGTATTATATGAAAAAGAATAACATGTTTTAAAATTAAATTAAAAGATGCAGTATCTACCTAGTTGCTGCCCAGTCATCCATCCTTCAGCACATGGGTTGACATTAAGTAACGAGTCCTTCCCCATATCAGGATGATTAAGCTGCAAATTGAAGAGTCATGTGAACAAACATGCAGATGCACTGAAGTAGCAACAAACAGGGAAGATTTTGCTTTAGGAAATCAATTTGCGGGGGGGGGGGACACAGAGCCCTCTTTAATTTGAAGGCCTGTGAAAGGTGAAATTTCTCTTTGTAAAGGTACCTTAACCTATCTGTTTTCAGTCACTGTGTTCAAGTGGAGAGAACTAAATTTAATGTAAATATCTAGGGCAAACTAAGGCAGATCATATGCCAATTAATCCTGGACTAGCAGGAATCAGAGCAAAATTTTCAGTGGGGCCTGTGCAAAATTTGAACAGTAGTTTAGCTTGAGGTTTGGATAAATAATGAAGAAACGAAAGCATTTGTTCCCTGTGCTTTTGTTACCCAGATGTTAATATACCAAAAAATGCAAGGAAGTTATGGACTTTGATTTTTAAAACAAGCCATGCACTAGTCAGTTTTCATTCAGGATGACAGAAGCTGTAAAACCACTGAAAGCATAGACTCTGGTAATTGGCAGGCAATAGCATTGAGATTTTAAACCCCTACCCACCATAGAAACAAGCAAACAACTTACAGCAAATCTGGTTAAGATGTAGGCACCAGCTCCAGTTCCCATTCCAATCACACTTTTCAACCTAAATAAAGAAATTATGAATAATGTTTTAAAGGGTACTTTTAAAAAAGGTCTGATTTCTAACAGCAACAACCCCCCCCCCCAATTCCCAAACATACCTATTTTACATTAAGCTACACTGAATAGCAGCTCCATGTCTGTTCAGACATATTAAAACAAGACAGCACTGGCCTGTCCTCATGCAGCGTATCAGCCACAGTATTACCTTTACTAATTACTATTCTTACTCAGAGTTTGCCATGAGGTCCCAGGTAGGGTTTCAACAACTGAATACACAATATTAAAACCAGATAAAACAGATTACAGTCAGGAGAATAAGGTGGCTCCTAATACATAATGTGTATCAAAGGTCCCAAGAAGAGTTGCGTCTTCAACATCCAACATAAGCTACATAATGAAGGTGCCCAGATACAACCCTATGGGGAGGCAATTCCAGAGTTTTAGGGGGTGCCAAACAATGTGCTCTCCTGGGCTGCCATCCCCTGAACTTCTAAGGTGACCCATAGGGAAGGCGGTGGGACCTATATGAGAACCTTGAACTGGCCCAGCAACCAGTGCAGCTGAGTTAAAACAGAGGTTGTGCAAGTTCTAAATGGAACCCAGGTCAATGAATTGCTGCTGCACTTGACATTTCCAAGTAATAATCCAATGTGGAAGCTACCAGAGCACAAGAGTGCAGTGGCCAAGTCATCTCTGTGCAAGAGGGGCTGTAGCTGGTGAACCAGCCGTAGCTCAGAAAAGGCACTTCTGACCCTCTAGCAGCAAAGTTGGATCCAAGAGTATCCACCAAGCTACAGACGAGCTAGTTCTGGGAGAGTGCAACCCTGCCCAGAACAGGCCGTCTCTCCATCTCTTGGACTAAAGAATTTGTATCTTATCAGGATACAACTTCAACACTGTATAACCCTTATGCCATGCACCCAAAAAGGCATGGTGCACACCACTAAATATACACAGGCTTGAAAAGAAGTTGCCTACACGTGTTAGCATAAGTAATTCAGATTAGGTTAATCCATTGCCTGTGCTTCACAATTCTGCCCTACAGGACATAGCCAGTTTCACATGAGGGCAATTAGCAGTATGGAAAGTTATTTTTGGTTTGCTTAGCATTTGTCTTGGTAACTAACCATAGAGACACGAGGCACTCAATGACCATTTGTTTTTCAATATTTAAGTGATAATAAGCTATGCCAAAACCAAGTCACCTGTTTCCAACAATGAATAATTCAATTTAACTACTAAATTACTAAAAATGTTCACAAGGCAATCCTCATAATCTGTAGTGTTTCTTGACTAGACCAGATAGAATCCAAGAGTAAAGGAGAAGCAAAACATTTCACAGTGGCAGTGTGTCAAACCATCTCTATTTAGACAATCACATTTTCTCAATTGCCAATAACTTATGTAGCTCATAGGTGCCAGCCCCCTGGGGCCATAGGTGCCCAAGCACCCACACAATTCCACATGAAGCGGCAGGGCACCCACAAATATCAGTGCCAGGGCCTTGCACATTGCATGGCACCCACAGACCCTGAAACCCACGGTCATGGGGCCGAGTTGGCACTCCTGCTGTAGCCACAGTGATGTGGGTTCCCTGTAGAGCCAGACTACAGAAAGGTTCAACATACAATAGATTCCAGAGCCACCAAACTTCAAATAAGCGTCGCAGAACTCAACAAGGTAGAAATAAGCATGACAGAGTCCACTAAGTAGTAAACTCAGGCAGCCTTAAATTGCTTTTTTCAATCTGCACTGAAAACTCTGAGTGATGCTACTTACCCAAACTGTTTCAGAATTCCAGGAAGCATTTCAGCCAGTTGATCCATTGAAGGGTACATGTATCTGCAACAGCGATGATTGAAGACACAATTTAGTCAAGGTTCAGTTGAAGGATAGGATTTCTACTTCTAAAAAGGCAATGTAAGAACAAAGCACCGGAACTCATTCAACAAAAGTTTGGTGCTAGAGAACAAACTATACCAGTTTACCTCCACTGGGGCTATAATCTGCAAGACAAATGTTCTTCTGAAGCAAAATATCAGGTTTAACTAGCTCAATTCATACATATGGTTTGCCAGGTCACTTCATTACTATTATTAACATTAATAATATATTAATACTATTTCCATGTTTTGGAACGGAGGTTAACTCTACAGCAATAGTTCCATTCCCTCATTCTAGAAGTGCTGGGATTAACCTTGACAATAGATAATTGGCATTGTGACATTACATATATAGGCACGTGGCCAAGTACAGCAGATGGGAAGCACACATGCAAGAACTTTGTGGACAGAACATTATTCATTCATAAAACTGCAGCATGCACACAGCAAGTTATGTTTCTAGGCAGACACATTTCACCGGTGGCAGGGAGCTGGGATGGAATATGTTTGCTTGCTACCACTTAATATGTGAAGCAGCCCTGAAAAGCATGTTATTCTGGACTGGTTCAAAACTCCCAAGTTATTTCATATGACAACTCTCACCATGAAGCATGTTACTCCAGGAAGAAAAGGCTGGAATTTGCAACAAGAAGGGACTCAAGACCATATACTTTCGGCACCATAAGAGCAATTTTAGACAAAGATGTATCTCCACTACCAACAGTTTTTAATTCCTCTGTGCCCTCCCCCCCCTTCCAAACATACCTACAGTCTCGTGTGCTCATGCTGTCAATATTCAATGAAGTATTCATGTCACCTAAAGTTTATCCCTAAGAATGATTTATGATATCTGTCTGCTCTTTAAAATCATCCTCCAAGGGTCTGCTCAGGGTACCTCCCATATTCAGAGTTTAGGCATGTGACTACTGGAGACAAAGCCATCTCTGTAGTGAAGCCCCGGTGATGAAATTCCCTTCTCTGAAAATGTCCAGCTGGGGCCAACTCCATTATTATTTTTTGTTACTGTGTTAAAGAGGGTTTCTTTTAGTGGGCTTTTAATGGAAGACTGAAATTTGTTTCCTTTTCTCTTTTAAACTGGATTTCATATTACTGTTCAGTAAAGTTTGCAGAACTTACCCAGGTGGAAAAGAGGCTGCCCCATCTTGCTGTCCAGGCGCATCCACATGGCAGACTGCAAAATGCTGTGTGATTTCTTGCATGTCTTCAAAATTGAAGAGGGGGTTGAAGCAAGTTTTGTCTTTAAGGAAGAAGAGCAGAGAGCAAGAAGAGAAGGTAGAAACATCAATGGGAGAACAGCACTTGTCAGTCCTTGACACCTTGCAACTTGAGACCTCCATCCCCCAAATCTCGAAACAAGGAGTTCACTTAGACAAGTTATTCTCTTTTTTTTAAAAAAGAGAAGAAAAAGTAAGTTTGCTTGATAGACACCAAGTAAAAAGAGGCCTTTCAAATCAATGTTAGCCATGGGCCACTGCTCTAGTTCTATGTGTTTTTGTAGCACAAGTTCTAAGAGGTTTTCATAAAGGTTTTACCACTGTCTATTTCAGTTCATGCCTCATTTATATTTGTTTTATATGGTCCTAAGCAAAGTGCTAAGGATCAGATTAAACAAATATACAGTAGGAAACACAGCACTGCTGACATGAGCTGCCATACGTCTGGATTTTCCTGGACGTGTCGCCCAGACACCTCTGCCCACTGTAGTATTCTGGGTATGTCTGTGAAATGCTTTGGTGCATGTAGAAGTTGGACCTGCTTAAAAGAGTGCTTAATTATTGTGCAGTCCCATGGATGGATAGGAGGAACTAAGCTAGAATTAATGCACTTTGCCGCAAGAGAAGCAGCTGTTTGTGCACACTTGTTATGAGAGCAGCGAAGGCATACTCCACCTTGCTGACACATTGTCACACTTACGATTGAGTCCAATGTCATGGTATGTTAGAATGGCAGGCCTATTTCCTCGAGGAGTCCCGCACATGGTAACATGGACAGAGCCATGTACTGTCTCAATATCTTGTTCCTGTAGGGGAGAGAGGGACCATTAGTAGGCAGCAAAAATAAGGATTTTACATTCAACAAAATGGTAACTTAATTAACCATCAGATATTACCTAGCACCACTTTTGACTGGTGTTGGATGGATCTATTTACTACTACCAGAATTTCCAGTAATAAATCCTTCACTTTCCACTGATTGGCTCCCAACCTGCACTTTCAAATGGTGCAGAATTCCTGCACAGGACTACAACAATTTTGTTTAGACATCAATTGCCCGCAGTTCGCTACATACATATGCTAAAAAGACTACTGTGTGCTAGCAACTCAAAACTGATACCGTGATTTGAGTACTTAATTCTGCAATCTAAACTAGGAAAATGAAGCCTGTGAACACAATCACAGTGGAACACTATCAGGACTTTGTTATGCTGAAAATATTCAGCAATTACATTGCTTGTTCTACCAAGGGTATGGGTCTAAAGGCATATGATATAGCAATCTTGCTGAAGCAAAGTGGACCTGGTAGAAAGGTTGAAAATAAAAATAAAAATGCATTGGCTTTAGGATACATAGGACTTCTTGTAGGATCTACAAAAAAATAAACAACAAGTATTCTTGCCCACTGCCAGTCCTGCAACCAATAATAGTTTTTCAAACGGTTGTCTGAAATTATTATGTACACATTTAGAAAGCTGCTACCTACAATGTTGACTGCTACCCTCCTGTGGTAAAACTGTATATGTATACAGGACAGATTTCTTTATACAAGAATAATCACCCTGACAAATCTACTGCTCCTCTCTAGTAATCTATTTGCTACCATTACTGTCTGGTATTAGTATAAGAACTGCTTAGAATTAGGTCTGACCTCACTCTACAAATTACAGCAATTTAGTAATTTTACTTGCTATGAAAATTTAGAACAGACATCTACAAATACCTTACACTCCACAACATGCTCTTATATGTAGACAGAGAAGTGCCCATTATGCAATTGTTTGACAATCAAAACCTCTCACAATTTAGAATTCTGAAAGGCTGACATTACAAAATGTAGGATACAATTTGTTTACCAAGCATCTTTTCCTTGCTGCACATAAACCTTAGAAACAGAAAGCTCACTCCAGGTCACATAACTCAAGAGTGCACCTCTCTGCATCTAGGATTCCATAACCTCAAGAAACTAACAGACCATAAAAGGATGGTTCATCTTACTCCAAAGTTTTATCACATATAAAGCACTACAGTATGCACATACTGAACACCCATATCAGTCTTTAAAGAAGAACTATACGTTTTAGTTTTTACTTTACTTTTTCCCACTGGAAGTACTTACAGCATTATGTAATAAATAGGCAGTATCTTCCACATCCAGCACCATTTTTAGACAGTGCAGTTTGATATTAATCTCAAGGAGTCCAGAGAGAAATAAGGATCAGATTTTACTTGGACTCTATGGTAAGCTGGGTTATATAGCCAAGCTGTTGCTCTACCTAAGCCCACAACTCCCATAATGCCCCATCAGAAAAACTAACACAAACTAGTTCAGAAGGACGTCATTCTTAAGTAGGATTTAAGACCGGTTTAACCGCAAGTGCCCATACCATACAGGTCAGACATCCACAGTGGGGGCAGGAAGGGGCAAGGCAATACTGGGTTTTACTGTCTGGAATAGCCCTTGGTTTATGTGTAGCAGTAGAGTCGTGCTAATGCCATACAGTATCTCGAGGAAGAAATCCATCTGCATGGAGAGCCTCTCCACTGGGTGAGCACAATGTGCCAGATTATTTTTGACCCAGTTGAAAGATCCTACTTATGAAAACCTTCTGTTCTGTCAATGTCACCCAGTTTCATGAAAGGCCTAGGTGGGGAATGGGGGAAGATTAAGGTCTTAAAACTCACACTGGTTTAGTGCTCCGAGGGTACAGGGAAGAGCACGCAGTCAAGAATGCAAATGAATAAGTGTTTAGAAGTGTCAAAAAGTAAGCTGAAAATCACTTAGGTCATATGGGAGGAGGGTGCAGTATAGAACACTATCTGACCCTTGTGGTGAAATCAGTGTGTAGGACCTGCTTCTCATAAATACAGTTCTTATGTTAGACTGATCGGATGCAAATTCCACTTGGAAGTTGCTTTTTTAAAATTAATCTCTGGAATTACTGAAGATCATAAATTGCTGCAACACTCTCTTAAACCCCAGGTGTAAACTGGATTGTTCAGTGAAAATGTACCACTACTGTTACCACTTTGAGATATTTTATATACTGGTGACTCTCTACATACACAGGGGTTCCAATCCAGGTCCCCCACGTGCATATGTGAAATCGCATAAAATGGGGAGTACTCTGGAGAGTCCTAGTGGCTCATGAGGAGACTCATCCCACAGCACGAAGAGGACCTGTTCGGGCTCCACAGAGGATCTCTTTGTGAACCGAAGGGGCAGCGGGGCTTTGCTGAGCTACTCAGCCTCACTGCCTAATAGCTGATTTGTGAGGTAGCGCAGCAGCAGTCGCTGCTTTCCAGCGCATCAGCAAGCCCTGCTGCTTAACAAAGTCCCTCCCACTCCCCCCAAGCTCACAGGAGCCTGCGCGGCATGGGGGCTTGCTCAGCTGAGGCACAGGGAAGCAGTGACTGCTACCCTACTCCACTGAGACATAAACAAATACTACAACTATTAGGCAGGAAAGATGCATGCAATTGGCGCCTTAGGTGCATGACGGAGCCTTTTAATGAAGGTCCAAAGTTAAGAACAACTTCCAAAGAGCTGCATCATTCACAATCTCATTTTTACAAGTAATGCAGTGGTGTGCAGAGAATCACACAAAGCTGCTACACAAGAGCAACGTGGATGAGCAGCCCTGAAGAAATGTTCAAGTGTCCTCTGTAGGAGAGCCATATCATGTAATGCAATCCATAGTAATTAGAAGTATATGCTACAATGTCTGCTGTGATGCAAGAGTGAAGTAAAAAAGGAAGCTATACATCTTTTAAAAAACACATAACAGACATGTGTCATAGAGCCAAAACCAATTTGTGCTCCAGTGAATTTCTCAAAGGATGTGGATGTATACACCTCCCTTTCATAAAGGGTAGGGGCTTTCTCCTTCAGGGCCACCATGCAGGCACATCCACCCCTTTTGACTTGTTTGATCTTGGGCATTGTTCTTTAGCATAGACTGATTATTCTTCTGAGACTCAACTGCTCCTAGGAGGTGATGAGCATCAGGTGCACTGCTGCTTTAACCCAACTCCCCACAAGGTGATTTGCCTGCTGGTTGGAAAGGACTCAATCTCCCTAGGTGTGAGGAGGTCTCTATTATAGTTCCAGGTGAGAGATGGTAAAGTGTTTGCTTTTTTCTGCTGCTTTTGGATTGTTTTTATTTAGTGGATCTATTTTTCTGTATGTGGTTAATGGTCAGTTGACTGTTTTGAGTGTTTTATTGATGGGGTTTATAGATGGGGGCTGGGTGCTTTGGTTTTGTGCAAGTGGAATGAGCTAAGTGACTATGGATTTCTTGAACTATTTATGAGATCTTTATGTTGGAACTGTAATCATGTTGCATTTTATGTTTCTTGATGTCTGTATACAATTTGTTTTTATGGTACTTAGTTTAAAGTATGTAAAATAATGTTACAAACATTGGTTTTGAATATGGAATTTGTACTGTGCTTCTTATACAGAATTCTTGTTGGGATTTGTTAAAAAGAAAGAAAAATGAAGTCATCTATAAACAAACTAAATCAATGCATAAACAATAGTACAACAAACATTGTTGTGTAAAGCGGCTTTTTGTTTGTTTTACGTGCGGCCACAGACACTTTTTTTATATATTTCTGTTGTAGAACACATGGCTCCCATAGCTATAGATTGTAACTCCTGCCTCCTCACAAATACCATAATTCCAGCTTATTTTAAGACCATGTCCCCAGATTGTTAATTGGATTGCAAACTTTCCCATGCAGGAGCACATTTGCAAAAAGAATTCATGACAAGCACAAAGTACAGCCAAATCAAAGCCTTCTTCCCAACAACAAAGCTCCAAGCTTCATATCACAACTGACCTGTTTGTCTGATTTCAGGGAAGATTTTTTTCAATAAAGATGTAGCATACTGAAAACAGATGGCATCATCCCCTAATCAACGTCAGTGTTGTAGTAAGAGGCTCTTTACTGACCGATCTGTATTAAAACACTATCTTGGGGGTGGGTGGGGTGGGGGGGAACCAAGGTACACTAATCCGATAGAAGGATAAAAACAAATGTGCCATCTGGTCACGTTATCTCTTGCTTTTAAAGAGGCGGTTTCCTGCTCACTAGACCAGTGTTTCCCAACCGGTGTTCCGCGGCACACTAATGTGCCGCGAGCTGTTGCCTGGTGTGCCGCGAGCGAGTCCAAAAAAGGTTGGGAAACACTGGTTTCTCTTTCAAAAAGGAAACGTGGGTTAAAGCGGCGACGCCGCCTCCCACTCACTTTCCTGCTCTGGCTTCCCTAACAGTTTTCCGAGTTGCGTCACTGGATCCAGCCCCCTTTTCCACATGTGACACGGGAAAGGCAAAGGCCTTTGAGGCACCAGCGCGAGAGGCTGCAGCCTGGGAATTCCCTCGCCCTGCCCAAGGGAAAGGCAATGGCCGGCCCCACCAGGGAAGCACAGGAACTCTGGGCTCGCTTTCGTTCGGCCCGCCTGGCTGGGCCCTTCTTTGCTCCTCCCTACCACAGAGACGAAACCGCTTCTCGCTCGGTATTCGGGCCAGCCATAGAGGTGCCGAGGGGCAGAGCGCCCGGGCCAATGGCGCTGTCTTATTGACCGGAACTTCCGAGGTGAGCGTGCGGTTGGCCGCTCTAGGCTTTCCCCGCCCCTTCTCTCTCGGCGGCGCCTGGACTTGGGAGAAGCCGGAAGCCGCGGGACTCGGGGCCACTCGGGTCTCCGTCTCCCTCGCCTGCCTCCTCTCCATGGCACCGGGCAGCGGGGGACCCGCCAGTCCCCGGAGCCGCCTCCGCAGCGGGACGGCAGCAGCGGCGACGGCGGAGCGGAGGTGGCGCCGAGGAGAGCGGTGACGCCGCCTCTGCCGCTCCCGCCGCTGCGCCTCCTCAGGCCCGGCCTGGGCGCCCTCCGCCATGGGCTCCCTCTTCCGCAGCGAGGCGATGTGCCTGGCGCAGCTCTTCCTCCAGGCGGGCTCGGCCTACAAGTGTCTCAGCGCCCTGGGCGAGCGCGGCCTCGCCCACTTCCGAGACGTGAGTTGAGACGCGCCTGCATTTGGTGCTTCATGGAATTGATACGCTGCTTGATTGTCGGGTGGGGGGGGGCGTGCCGAGAAGGAACCCTTCAAAGCGGTTTACAAAAAAACAGAACAATGAAATTATCACTTTTTAAAAAACAACTATAACTTTCTCTTCTTACCCAACCCTTGTCGTTGGAGGAGTCCCTCAGTCCCTCGCTTTGCTGCCTCCTCCCCCCCCTAAAGCTTGGAGGTTCCCCGGCAAGGGGGAGGGGAAAAAATTGAAAGTTACACTTTCGTGCGTCCCTCCCGGCGTGACGCTGCGCGCTGACGTCACGGGGCTGTAATGGTGGTGTGCCTCGAGATTTTTTTCATCAAACAAGTGTGCCTTTGCCCCAAAAAGGTTGGGAAACACTGCACTAGACTAAACAATTGCACGTGAGCATTAGTCAAACACATCCAAGAGGTGCCATCACAGCTTGAACTGGACTGGAGCAGTTACACTTTGGCAACTGTCTTCATTACAGGAAACATTTGCATGTCAATTCCAAATGAACAACCACATTAACGGCAGGAATACACAAAGAGCTGTGGCACTTGTGGAGGGTAACCCCCTGCCCGGACGGGCCAGTCTTGACAGACTCTAGGGTTGTGCGCCCATCTCACTCAAGAGGCGCTGTCCGGAGACACTTCCGGGTCACGTGGCCAGCGTGACAAAGCTGCATCTGGCGAGCCAGCGCAGCACACGGAAACGCCGTTTACCTTCCCGCTAGTAAGCGGTCCCTATTTATCTACTTGCACCCGGGGGTGCTTTCGAACTGCTAGGTTGGCAGGCGCTGGGACCGAGCAGCGGGAGCGCACCCCACCGCGGGGATTCGAACCGCCGACCTTTCGATCGGCAAGCCCTAGGCGCTGAGGCTTTTACCCACAGCACCACCCGCGTCCCTTCAATAGGAACATAGGTGCAGCCAAAGCTGAACTAATAAACAGGCCTCTCCACTCAGCTGATTCCCACATCATGGAAACCTTGGTTGTACAGTTTTCAGGAGAGGTCATTACAGAGGTTTTCAAAAGCTACCATATTTTTTGCTCTGTAAGATTCACTTTTTCCCTCCTAAAAAGTAAGGGGAAATGTGTGTGCGTCTTATGGAGCGAATGCAGGTTGTGCAGCTATCCCAGGAGCCAGAACAGCAAGAGGGATCGCTGCTTTCGCTGCGCAGCGATCCCTCTTGTTGTTCTGGCTTCTGAGATTCAGAATATTTTTTTTCTTGTTTTCCTCCTCCAAAAACTAGACGGGTCTTATGGTCTGGTGCGTCTTATAGAGCGAAAAATACGTAGTTAAGTCTCACTTGTGTGAGTTTTGTGTATTGTGGAGGGTAGCTACTTTTATTTGGCAGGAAATCAGATAGCCACTAAGCTATTGGATACCAAACCAAGAAACACCAGGACTGATTTGATGAGAATGACAGTGAGATTGACTGCATGATTGACAAGAAAAGGAAGGCCTTTCAGATCTGGCAAAGAGATAGAAACTGTGCCACTAAGGGGGGGGGACACCTACCTTGTAGGTAGCACGCTGTACTTGCATACTCCATGTCTGAGGAAGCTTTAAGGAAGCATCATTTAAGACTAGCCGTGTTTCTCAAGGGGGCCCTGCACATTCCTCATTTTGTTTGAAATAAAGTATTGTAACAGTCAACCTTTTGAGCCAAAACTGGCTCAACAAAGTAGGCAGCTGTCAATTTAGGCATACAGCACTTCATAACAATGAACCAATTAAATTCAGCAGAAGTCAGCAGAAGAAAGAACCAACAATAGCAAGAGACTCAAAGAAGATGCCTAAGCTAGCCTGCAAACAGTTATTACCTATATTTGTTTGAAATGTGATGCCACATACCCACTCTGTTTGTAGCACGCTCCTTGAAGATTTGTCAGTGTTGTGCATGTGTGGCACAAAGCCAAGAATCTAAACAACACACCATGCTACAACCAGGGAGTTTCAGATATAATCCTATAATCAAAACAGTCAGGTCTGTCTCATAAAGCACACAGCCTTGGTGTGGATAGGGCTACAGAAGGATCTATTTTTAATTTAGTAGCCATATATGTTTTAACAGAAGCACCCACATATTCTGTGGAACAAATACTGTTCTAACAAGGTACAGAAAAATTCTCACCTATTTACTGTTATGATAACTGGAATTTTTGCATCATGGGTACAAAAAAAGTGTAGATTTGCTGTTTCAAAAGTTACACAGCCAGTCCTCCTCCTGCAACCAAGCAGCAACTCCAGCCCATTCCAACCAAAGTAGATCTTAACGCTTCAAAGACACCCCATTTATAATAACCACTTTCTATAGTTACGCATCTGATACAAATTTACCACAACTCAAGTCTACTTGTCAATGAACGTAGTCTACCTCTAGGCTGTACTGAATAATTGAATGCTCCCTACAGGGGAAAAATGGTATTTCCTTCAAAAAAAGATGGAAGAGAAACCTTCCAAGAAGACACTAGGTCAGTGTTTCCCAACCTTGTGCCTCCAGCTGTTTTTGGCCTACAATTCCCATCATCCCTTGCCACTGGTCTTGCTAGTCAGGGATGATGGGAGTTGTAGGCCAAAAACATCTGGAGGCACAAGGTTGGGAAACACTGCACTAGGTGTCAGTGAGAAGGCTAGTCTAGAATCCTTTCCCTCCAAATATGCTTCTTTTTTCTGTTTTAAAGACAGAGGGAATGCTTTCATACAGATAGAAATCAGTCCTGCAAGCCTTTCATTGTATAGACGCAGATAGGCCTTGTTACGGAAATGGTCAAACAAGCCTAGTTTGGGCAGGAAAAAAAGTACATCACAAGCTTGATTAGCATGTAATGAGCACACAGTTCTCCAAGTTCCTTTATCTAACAATTTTAATATTTTTCTATGCTTAGGGCATAACAAAGGGTAAACATTAGATGCCCATTTATGTGCCCTGCTTGCATGCTGATTTGAAACTTTGGGAATGTTGTGCAAATTTTTTCTAGGTATTTAACTACAGGAATTTCTCTTCCTCCCACCCCCATTGCACTGTCGCCATGTGGATAGATCAATACAGCTATTTCAATAGAACAGAACACACTCATCTTGTTACAGTACAAGAAAGGTTTGGTTCACTAAACACACAACATGATGAAGAGTTCAACTGCTGGTCATTAAAGAATGGCCAAGAGCTATGCCACTTTAACTGATTGCTTGACTCCTCTTCACCACTTGTAGTGGTGTGGTAGCGGAGGCACAAGTCTCAGATTGCAGGCTGGACTACACTACTACAGTGCAAGAAATAACTTCTGTATAGACTCCTGTGAGCTTCATGCAAGCATTCAGAGGCTCCTGAAACTTTGGATGATTCCCTGCTATGGGCTTGTCTCATATCATATTGCATTATATCATATCTAGAGTTACTCCCAGATCAGTAACGTACAAATATACATGACTGCTCTGAGGCTTTGACAACATGTATAACCATGTATTTGTTTCTGCTTGGAATCGGTAGTTTACCTAACTCTAGGGTAATTTGAAGCCTAGCAAATCTTTAACCTAAAGCTGACCCAGTAAAGATCTGGCAAACATTTATTTTCTTCAGTACATACATTGACACATTTAATACAAATCAATCAACAATTCAGCCAACTGGTTCTCAAGCCACCACCCTTTGCTGTTTCTATTTGTAAGTTTTTAGAAACCAGTATGAGAAATGTGTGTGACAGAAAAAACATAAGATGGAACAGAGACAGCATGCTAGAAAAGTAACTACTAGGGTACCTGAAGCAATTTATTTACTCATGCTGCTGCAACAGCATTTTTCCATAAATTGATATTTTCATTTGATTTTCTGTCTGGCCTTCACCATAAGAACCCAGAGCAGGTTACAACAATAAAATATACAATTATGAAAACAAACAAAACCATTACAATTATAAAACATAAAACTGTTCCGAAAGCAGAAGAACAGTATAACATGGTTTCGACAAGATTTACGAAGGTTTATTAAAATAATCATGGAGTAGTTTTAGTTTTGCTAAGCAGGGCATAAATAAAAAGTATAGTTAAGAATCTACAAGTTGATTATATGTATGTCCATAATTTAAGAGTTCTGAAATAAGTTTTTACTAAATTGGAAGCTTCACTTACCTGAACATCAAAGTCAGGTAGGAGATGTGTGATTGCCTAGAAAAGCATCATACAGAAGGAGGTCAGAGGAAAAGAATCCAGGTGGTTTGATTTCAATTTCAAAATGCAAACAAACAGCAGCAGCAACACAATATTTCATTGTGGAATTCTCCTGCTCATGGCTGGCTGGTTCTCTCCACTCCCCTTTTCCAGGACACTCCATTCCATTCTCCCCCTCTTTGGTATTCCACCCCCTCCCCTCCATCAGTCATCCAGCATTCCATTACCACTGGGCATGCTCAGTCCTCATTGGGCTGCTTTCTGTTCGAATCCCATGCAGCAAATGTTGTTTCTCTCTCTCTCTCCATACATATTGCAAACCTTGAGGCTTCCCCACCCGCCACAATCCTGCTGATAACATTTCTCTTCTGTGTTGATGGTGCATAAGGACCAGCACTCAAGAGAACAGAGATCATTATTAGTATAGTGGTACCTCGGGTTAAGTACTTAATTCGTTCCGGAGGTCTGTTCTTAACCTGAAACTGTTCTTAACCTGAAGCACCACTTTAGCTTAATGGGGCCTCCTGCTGCCGCCAGGCCGCTGGAGCGATTTCTGTTCTCATCCTGAAGCAAAGTTCTTAACCCGAGGTACTATTTCTGGGTTAGCGGAGTCTGTAACCTGAAGTATGTAACCTGAAGTGTCTAACCCGAGGTACCACTGTTTATGATGGTGCTAGAAGATCAGGGATGGGGAACTGTATCTGGCTGGTGGGATGGATCCCTAATTCCCCCACTCTTCCTGTGTCAACTTTAACAGGTGGGTGTACAACCCACATGTCAGTCATTGGAAACGAGATTAAGATGTCGGACAAATGGCACCTGCCAAAATTCAAAAGGGCTCACTGTGACTGCTGATCAACCGATCAACAGTTACAGTGACCTCCTTTGAAGGTGCACTTCAAAGTGTGCCTTTTTCAAAGGTTTTTTTCCCCTATTTCAATCTGCTTCTCAAAATGGAGCTTTGATTTGGGAAGTGGCTTGAAAGAAGATAAGCTACTTTGAAGGCACACTCTTCTGCCAACTGGCGCTTGGAACATACCTTCTGAGAAGCTTGCTCCATTTGCTCTGCAGAGTGGGGGGACAGCTCCATTTTAGGAAGCAGTTTGAATGCAAACTGTTTCAACATGGAGCAAACAAGCCCTACTGGGGAACTCCCTGTGTGCAGCTGATCCCAGGGAGGCTTCCTCTCAGCACTGATCAGCAATGACAGAAAGCTCAACTTGCAAAGGAATAACTGGAAGTTCACATTAAGTTCCTAATCATTCATTTGCATCCATGTCCGTACAGGCCCCACACCATATAGAATGTCATCTGAAGGGCAGGTGGCTGTGGTTTGTGCAAAACATCCATGTGGGCCAAACTGGAACCAATGCCAGGACTAATTAAACCCACAGGCTGCATGTTCCCTATTGCTGTTTAATTTTGTCTTAACAAAATTTCTACTTTTTAGAACTAGGGTTTGTGAAACTTGGAACTCCAAGAGAATAGTAGTATTCAGTGTAACATTAGTTATGAGCCATGGTTAGTGCACACAGTCGGAGGATTTCTGCTTTGCTCCTTCCTTGCTCCCAGTGGGGACACAACTCACAGAGGTCATATTAACATTAAATTTGAAATGGAGTGTGTGGTCTCCTTTGCCCAAAATCTAGGGGCAACAAGTTGGGAAAGGCTGCTTTAGAGCATTATGCTTTACAGGAAAAGGACAATTGGATAATCCAGTGTGATCTTGTGCTCTCCCAATACCAACGCTACTATCACCAGTAGGGTACCTAGGCTCCCTTGCACCCTTGGTAAGAAGTTGTACTGGTGAACCCCTGTCCCTTGTGTCATTGGCAAGGAGATGTTGGCAGTCCAGAGCAGTGGAGAAGTGGCCTGGGGAGCACATGGACTGACACATGAGCTCCTAGTCACCCCCAGTCAACACTCCTGGCAAGCATGCCAACATGAAAATTCAGCTGCTAGCATTTCCAAAGCAAAGGTTAAGTCATTTGAAGTGATGCTTTATTATTCTGTTTCACTTATGTAAACCGAGTCCTTTGGTTCTCTTATTCCCAGGGTGGCATAAGAACAGAAAGTGAAGCAATTTCTAAAAGGCAGGGTAAAACAAACATTAAAAACGGGCCTACCTTATGTTATAAAATTCTTGGGCAAATAATACATTCTTTATTTGATGGCAGAAGACATAAGATTCAGGGTCATGTGGGCTACGGTGGACCTTTTTCTGGTGGCCGTGCACCTAACTTCAGAAGGCAGGGGCATCTGAAGAAGGGCTTCAAAAGATAGCCTCTGCCTTAGGACAAATTCATGTGGGAGTCAGTGATCCATCATCAGCAGGTTTTAGCTTACCTCTTCTCTCTCCACTAATGGTTTCACCTCCGTAATGTGAGCGTCAGGGCCGTCTGCCGACATTGTCAGTAGCTGGTACCTAAAAATGTCAAGAACAACAGTCCTGATTACAACTAATATTTACTACATACGAAAATAGATTTCTAAAATTTTATGAAATCTCTCAAGAGTGAAAAATGTAAAGGCATACAGAACACTGCAAAGATGAAAAGTATGGCACATAGACTACATGAGGCAATGGAAATTTATCATTGTTTCTTTCATCTGGAGTTACAAGATTACACGGAAGTTCTGTATTTTAATACCCAGGAATATACTCATACTAGGAATCAATCTTACGTGGCATCTTGAACCCAGATTGCTTGAATTAACAGAAACCAGATTAAGAGAAAGTATTAGGAACACTGTGGACTATTAGTTTTTTTATTAGTACACCGAAAGGAACATGCCAGTCTATTTGTTTCAAGTAAAGTGCGTAAAATAATGAAGGAAACCACAGGAGGGGAAGCTGAATAATAAGTTCCTGCAGTTTTCCAGCAGGAGCTGGCTAAAGGAACAAGCCTGCAGCCTGTGTAACACACAACAAAGTTTAGACACAGTAGCTTTGGGTCAGCTACAAAGTCCTGGATGTCCTTTAAACAGGAATGCAATTTTCCAACATATGATTAAGAACTGAAGCATTAAGAACTGGCTTTTAACAGTTACACTTTTTATATGGCTTCTGGTTTCTTTTGAAAAAGGATTACATATTTCTTCACAATCTTAACCAAGGAGTGTTAACTTGCAAAAGAAAAATAGATTAAATACTTGGTTGTTGATTATTTAAAGAAACTGTGAAGGATGTGCCACAAAGGGAAAGTCAGTTGCAAAAATTGGTTTAGCATCAAGTGCCACTTATAATGAGGAAAATGGCTGTTTGTGTTCTGTCGAACATCAAAGGCTCCCTATCAAGATTCAACCTCTAGAGGGAGTTAAGAGCACATGGACAAACTACTTCTTATCTTATAAATGAAAGTCAAAGGAATGCTTCTTCAAGTTCATCTCATGATAAAATAGGGGAGGATTTATACAATGCCATAGCCACTGATGGGTTTGTTGGAGTGAGTGAATCAGGCTTAATAGCCTATGACATGGGAAGGCTATGTGTCTTTCTACAATGCACCGCCAGTGGAAGCTGGTTCATTAGGGGAAATGGGCACTGGTTCTCACCAAGCTCAGCCAGCCCCCACCTGCCTGCCTTCTTACTTGCAACCAGTCCAGGCGGTGGATCTGGCTGTCAGCACCATCCTTTTTATTCTGTGTTGCCCTTGTAGAACTCAGCAGGTAGGAGGCTGGAGACAGAACTAAAGTTTGTTGGCTCTGGCTCCACCAAATTTTGGTCTCCCTGCCTTCTGCCCTTCCAATCGTAATGGGCACCAGCTACCACTGATGCACTGAGAACAAAAAGCAAAGTTTTGCTCTCCTGAGCAAGTTGACAAGGAAATGTTACATTTCCATGGAGATAATATGAGTACAAATGAATAGGAAGCTCAAGGTGGTTTTTTTGGTAAATGGTTGGAGGTCATTCAAGGATGAATTTGAAAACTTCAGCTCCAAACTAGTATCCCTGCCCATTAAGATATGTCAACGTCAATTAATCATTAGATCTTGTCTCTTCTAATGGATGCCACAGTGGGAAGCGTATTATTTTATCTATCCACTGCACACATACAGCTAGAAGAATGAGGTGCTGGGAGAAATGTAACTGCATAATCAGAATACTTGCATTATATGTACTTTGAGGCCAAAATATAAAACTTGCTTTATATCTGTAGTTATTCATGCTAGCAAATTTACAGATGAATTTTAACAAGGTTCTCTACTGGGGCCCCTTCTCCACCTTTTGCTACTTTATAGGTCGTAAGGTCTTCTAAATAGAATAGCCTGCTTATGCAGTCATAATAGGTTCCCATCAACCTCAGTCTCATTAATGCAATTGTGGCCAATCTAGTTAAGGATTAAAGCTCAACACTGTCACTCTTGTTAGAATTAATGACCCTTAATTGCGTAGCAAATTCCCCTTCAAATGGATCACGTACTTATGCCAAACTGGGAAGGAGAAAACAAAGTCACCGTGCGACCTCAAAAAGCATGACTAGGCATTGTGACTCCACAGTCTGGGTCTTCCAAGAGCCAACTATGCCGCTGGTGTAGTTCTCATCTCCAACTGTAGAGCCTCCCTCCTCTCTTTGCTTAACAACATGCAGCACAGAGACAAGAGCAGAGGTTGCCATCTGTGAATATAATTCTTCCCAGCATTTGTAGGACCTTGAGCTCTGGTACTTAAGGTAGCCAACACACACCCTCACCTTCAGTCCCCAAACTCTCTCAAAGTTTCTTGCTTTCAAGCTTGTTCTCAGGTGCTATATCACGTGTGTCTATGAAATTACGATTGATAGGCATATTACAATTAAAACCTGAAAGATCAGGAGTATACATTTGCCATTTTGGTTTTTGTTATGAACATTTAATAATAGTTGACTTCTAAGACCTATTATGAATTACATTTTAACCCTTTATCAATTTAGTGGCTTAGACTTAGTGAACCTAGTAGAGTTCATTTTGTAATTATGTACAGCAGAGTTTCAACAGTTGAAAGTGACCCAATCAAATCAACCTTTTTCTGGCTTATGTTTGGGTTATGCAAGTAATTTCCAAATTAAGTTATTTGTTTCATTGTTTCCACAATGTATATAAATTAGAATTAGGATCTATAATCTTACATACCACATCTTGTTTAACAGTTCCTACTGGAGAGGGGATATATAGAAAAGTATTTAACTTATCGATGACGTTTTTGTGGAATGCATTCCTTAGTGAGGTGAGTCTGTCCCCTTCATTACTGAACTTCAGTTGAAATTTAACAACTTCCTGTTAACCCAAGCATATTATTCCTGTCACTGATCTATCAATCACCTTCTTAAGAAACTGCCCTGGGCGATGTACACTGAAGATAATCAGAAACAGCTCAAAAACAAAAAACAGCAAATACATTTAAAACAAAACTGAAACCATACAAAGTAAACACTCATGATAAAGACCTATTTATCCAGTTGGGAAAATCTGTGGGCTGATGTCTTCAATTGTTTCTGGACAGTGCAGGTGTCTGTCAAGGTAGGACAGGAATGATATTCCACAAAACGGGGGCAGCCACATTAAAGCCCTGCTGGCTGAGAGATACTGGCTGTGGCAACAGTGAATTAAAAACACTGATTTCAAATGGTTTTAAATGGGTTTATATTTGATTTTAAATTTTACCGTTTTAACATTTAGCTCTTTGCCACCTTGGGTTCCTCTGGAGGAATAGCAGGAAACAATTTTAATAAGTATATTTTGGAACATGGTTCTTCAATTCCAGCAGTTTATGAGGACAATGGGTAACCCTAAATACTTCTACTCTAACTGTTCTAGTCTCTCAACTGTATCTTTATTATACCCATATTCTACATTTTTTCCCAGAGGCTGTTATCTAACTGTTCTAGACAAACAGAAACCAAATTCTTTTCTCCCCCCCCCCAATAATTTTATACCACCGCTACATAGAAGTGACTTAGTCAAGACAGTAGTTTAAAATACAACACATACAACAACATCCATGTACATCAGCATCCTGAACCAGCTGTAAGCTCAAGCGATAAATAAATTTTATGAAATAAAATAAATCCACAACAGCCAGACAATGGTGCTAAAAGCTTGGTACTAGTAACCAGAAAATGCATGTATGAACAAATTAGGAAGTGTCAAAAATCTGCTAATCCAGATTCACTGCCCTCACACAGAAGTTCATCTATTTATTTATTTGATTTGATTCATATGCCACCGTTTATCAAAAGATCCACATTTTATGCACGTTTTACAGAATTTCAAAACACTTCTATTAAAAACTGCATCAGAACATCTATATTTTTCCAAATGTCTGCAGTCACACTGAGGCAAGGGTATGTGCATTTTGATATGTAACCATACACATGACATTTCCCACTGAAAGCTGGACAGCTGGACAGACCATAGCTACTGTAAACACAGATAATCTTTGGGCAAAATAAGAAAACTGCTTCCCTTCTGATCCTTATTGGCATTGTCATAATTACTTATTGAAATAGACCACACACTCACACACACAGAGAGAGTTTTCTTTAGGAGTGACATTAACTAGTATAGATCCTATCGGAATAAGGGCTAGTCGATTTTATTACTCTCATTGCTTGTATGGAACTTTTATAGGATAGCTGGCTATAATTTAGAAGTAGGAGAGCAGGAAAAAACAAGTGCCACCCCATGTGCCAGTGTTGCTCTCCTCTTCCATTACTTCTCCATTGTTATCAGACTTCTCATGCTGAATTTGGCCTCATAACACTATAGGCTAACAGCAAAGTTTTTTACTTTACAGGCTAAATCTGTGCACAACCACAGAGAAGAGAGGAAACCTTTGGCTTTTCACAAAGGTAGCACCTGAAATGTGATCCCAGCATCCTCCCTTTCACACACATACCTTTGCTGAAGCTCTACAGCTGTTCACACTGTATACCGGCTGCCAGAGTTGACTAACCCATTAATCTCCCTGTAGAGAGTTAGCCAATAAATTGAAAATAATTAGTTGGATAGGCTACACAGCAAGGAATCAGACAGTGAAAGCATGAAGTGAGCATGCTGAAACAAGATGTATTAAGACATGCAACAAAAGGAAGGCAGGGAGGGAATAAGGGTGGAGTGAGAAAGTACATTGTCTGGAATATTGATTGTGTGTGCTTGAATATTAGATGTATACATATGTAAATTGGTTGACAGGGTTTGTTTGAAGAGACACTCCTGACTGACAGTAACAGAAAACCCAATGGAACCCTCAGTCAGTTATGGATCTTTGTATAGCGTCTGACTCCAAATGAAGCTGTAAAGAATCTACAAAGATGTGAGCCAGATATGCACAAAACAAATGATGCTATGGAGGACTTAAGTTACAGGAGGGTAGATTTGGGTTGAACATTAGGAGGATTTAATTTTAACAAGCATAAATGCATACTGTCTGATTGGTGGTGCACCCGGTTTTCCTACTGTATTGCATTCATTTGCTGGGTTA